CTTCTGGCTTTAAGGCCAATGCTCTACCAACTGAGCTACTGTCGCCCTTGAAATTGAAATTGTAAAATTTGTTGAAAGAAATGGGCTTAGTGCTGCATGAAAATCACTTGTCAAAGGCCTTGGCTCCGCACCGTGCTCCTCTTTGCTGTCATCGTTGCAACATGTCCAGAAGTTAAACTTTTTAGCACTAACCATGTTGTGGGTTTAGTCCATGATTTTGTCAAGGAGAAAATTAGCATACAGCACTTATGGTGCGTTCAGACCAAACGCGATTTCTGCGGCCAAAGCGGCGGGTCTACATTGACACAACATGGGGGACGCGCGCCAAGGAGCGGCGAGAGATCACGCGGCGCGATTCGCGCGGCCAGAGCGGCGCGAATTCGAGCGTTTCGCGCGATTCGCGCGGCGTGTTTTGAGATGTCAAGCGTTTTGACGCGCGTTTCGCGCGATTCGTGCCTCCAACGCGGCCGCCGCTAGAGTTGAACAATGTTGAACTTTTTGGGAGAATTCGCGTGTGCCGACCAATCAGGAGCTTTCTCCTCCAGTGACGTAGTGACGCATTTCACTACCGGAAAAACACTAGTAGATGACAGCTATGGAGGACACGTCAATTGCTCAGGTCGGTGCTCATTCTGAGCTATATAACACTGCGGACATCAGCTACCGGGACCGAAATAAAAAGGAGCTTGCTTGGAGGAGGGTTAGCGAGGTGGTTGGTGTCTCGGGTAAGTTATTTTAACTTTTCAATGTTGTAAATATTTCCCCGCGAAAAAAACTACTACTTTCCTGCTTACGAGTTGATGTGTTTATTCAGTGGAAGTTTGCAAAAAGCGGTGGAAGAATCTGAGGGACACATATGCTAAGGAGAGCAGGAAGAAGGAGAAGGTGAAGAAGAGTGTAGCAGAAGCAGGGAAAGGCCAGACGTGGAAGTACCTTGTGGTCATGTCCTTCCTCGAGCCTTACATCACTCCCCGTGACAGCTCCGGGAACATGCCAAGGCGAAGGGCCGAGGAGGAGCAGACCACAGGGTACAACCACCCAGAAGAAGAGCCAGAGGAAGCAGCAGCAGCAGGGCTGTCAGGTGCTGAAGGTCGGTGTCATGCAGCAAACAGAGACCTCCAACAGTTGGAAAAAATACATTTCTTTCCTTTCTATTACCCACATTTTGCTGACTTTTACATTTATATTGCTTTCTGTGTATGCATTTCTTTTAATGATTTCTTAACATCATGGCCAGGTGAAAATAGGCATTGGCTATTTTCAAACCAGGATAGATCTTGATCATGTGTTGTGTTAAATTTCACTTTTCCCTTTTATATGAACAAATCATTTAAATGTACATAATAATGTACATTATTATGTACATATAAATGTCATAAGCGCAATGTACACATGATATGAAATAATTGTATTTCTTGTTTTCTTCTGGCACAGACACTGCCACCACCACACAAGGTGAGACATCTTGGCCTGAGCTGCCTGAGCTGCTGCTGCTGCTGCTGCTGCTTCCTCAGCCGGTTCTTCTTCTGTGAGGGCTGGACCTTCCCCTGCTTCTGCACCTACAGGTGTGGCTTTTTTTAATCATTGTTTTATTTTTATTCTTTTTACAGGACTGTTCATATAAACAAAATGTTACTGCATAATATGCCAAAATTACCCAAGGGCTGTTACATCAGTGTAGACGACAAATTTACAGAGAAACACCAAGATGTCAAGGCACTACAGGTGGAAAGAAGCTTTGGTCTGATACAACACATCTTCCCTCTTTCTTCGATAAAAACATAATACTGAAATACCTTATGCTATAAAAGTACTGAACAAATACATGCAATGGTTGCCACAAGATGGCAGCTATCCTGTTTAATGCAGACAATAGAGTATTACTTTTTTACAGCCAATTTCAAATTTCATTGCGAAATACACTTCAGAGATATTAGTTTGTAACTGTCGAAATTTGTGCTTGTGTGAGTAATTTCATTGATAACTGCAATGTTCAAGTTAATTGTAACAAACACACAACTTAAAAGTGTTTTACATGTGTTTAACTATGTCTACACACTCTGGCTTTAATACAGATATTATTTGCTCTCTTCATTTTGCTTTTTTGAAATACATGTTCCACTTTTTAACACTGTGATTGCCCTGTGTTCTTTGTTGGCGGCTCTACGGACGTGGGCCTCTTCCGAGCCCTCTTCCTTGGTGGGCCTTCAGAGTGGGAGCGGGAGCTGCTGGAGACTCTACGGACCAAAGCAGCCGGACCGCCCGACTACTCAGAAGACCATCAGTTCCTGCTCTCTCTCTTTCCTCTCCTGCAAAGGGTGGCACCAGAGTCAAAAGAATTTGTGAAATTCAAAATGTACCAACTTTTATATGAAAGCAGCACCGTTCTGCTTAATTTGGAACCATTGGCCAGAACAGACAGTTTTTTGACCTAAGGTGACACCTTTTGCAGGGGAGGAAACAGACATGTGTCCCTTTCCTCTTCCACCGCACCTCCTCCAAGCAAGCTCCTTTTCATTTGTTTATATGTACATTTCATTTATTTTCATTGTTTGTTCCTTTTTTTATAAAGAAAATATTTTTCAAACCTCATGTGTTCTACTTCAAGCCAACCATTACTACCTTTCATATAATATTGACAGAAAATGCTATTCTATATTTGTACATTTACTTTTATAAGAGCTGACTGGGTTTTATAGAAGATGGAATAACGAACACTTAAAGAGCGATACAGTAGTTGACAGTATTTTTTATTCATTTCACCTTTTACTGTTTTAACAACCTTGTAATTATGGAAAAGCTTGAATGTGCATATGATTAACCTGAAGTTGGAGTGGAGTCGCAGTGGAGTCTGGCAGTCATTACCTAGAAACAGAAGGTATACAGGTGAATAGAATAGTGCAAATCAATATGGGTTTGGACTATGGCCAGATGTGGGTCAGTCTTGTGGTGGACATGACTACTCTGTGGGCTGCCACGGCAGTGCTCCCTCCTCACTGAAGTGGGCCATGAACACTTTCCTTATGTCCACTGCTGGCTTCCAGGCGGCCATCCGCTGCACGCCTGTAAGTGGTTCTTCACCGACAGCAGCTCCCCTCGGTGCAGGAACCTGCCCATCTCCAGCCATCCTCATGGCTGGAGATGGGCAGGGCGCATTAAATTGCAGCGCAGTGAAAAGGCCTCATCTGCCACGAACACATGGGGCTGGGGTCCTCTGTGGTCAGCTCCAGGTATGCACTGGTCAGGAGGCAGGTCGAGTGTGCCCTCGCGCAGAGCCTCACCAAAGGCAGAGTTGGACACGATGCCTCCATCGCTGGATCTGCCGTACCCTCCCACATCAATCACCCTGAACCTGTACTGGGCATCCACTACAGCCAGGAGCACAAGGGAATGGTGCCCCTTGTAATTAAAAAAACATGGACCCAGAGTTGGGGGGTGCCTTCACAGCCACATGCTTCCCATCAATGGCCCCACAGCACAGAGGGAAGTTCCATCGGACCTCCACTCCTCTGCTCCAGGCACAGCCATGAACTCCTCCACGAGGCAGTCCCAGATGGCTGCCACCACATCTGGGATGAGCATGGAGACGGTGGATATGCCCGCTCTGAAGCTCCCCGCAATGGTCCTGTAGGAGTCCCCAGTGGCAAGAAACCTGCAATTACAAAATGATATGAACATATTTATCACAATTACATTCATAACAATCACGTGACAAAACTTGTGTAGCATAAAATACGTTAAACTAGTAGACAGTAAACATCATAGACAGTAATCATAGACACCATATTGTTGCATAATACTGTTTTCTGAGCTATTACATTGTGGATTGTGATTGAAAAATGACAAACTTTGTAAGTATTTAGGAATTCCGAATGGGGTAAAAAACACTAACCGCAGACAGATGGACAGGCGCTCTTCAGCTGGAATAGAGCGCCTGTAGTTGGTGTCCTGGTAGGTGATCCTTGCGCCAATGCGGGTCAGTAGGTCGTCAAACTGGGCCAGGGAGAGACGAAAGTACCGCTGAAAGCGACCCTCATCCGAGCGCAGCTCCCGGAGCAAATGGTGAAACTCACCAAACTCCAACCGTCTACGGACTATCTGGTGAATCCAGACACGTCGTCGATTCGCCCTTTGACGACGCTGTCTGGCTTTATTTATCAGATAAAGCAACTCCTTCGCTGACATCCATGTTGGGAAGCTACAGGCAAAAGAGACAAGCCCCGCCCCTAAACGCTCTCAACGCTCTGTGACAGCGGCTGCCCTCTAGTGTCCTGGCCGCGCGGCCAAGTTTCTCTGTGACAGCGGCTGCCACAATTTGTCACAAGCGGCTCAAGCCGCGCGATATACGCGATTTGGCCGCAGAAATCGCGTTTGGTCTGAACGCACCATTACAGTCACACTGCTAGCAATCAGACATGGATTTACATTTGTCAGTGTGAATGCTGTGATGTAAAGGAAACACTGCACAGAGATTACCCCTTAGCCAATCAGGACGCAGAACACAATACGCTGGTTCTTCCTTAGCCAATCAGGATGAACATTGCAAGTTCATATACAGTGAAAATCAAGCTACAAATAAATCTACAAGACCGCGAAAAGAGAACTGCTATTCAGCTGAGGAGACTCCTATTCAGAATAAAGAATAACAAATTTTTCCTGTACGGAAGTTTCTGATATGGTGTTTGTATGTAATTTTTTTACTATCATCATGTTTTAGATTATAGATTAGACAGTAATGTTTTTGCACTTTATGATTTGTGAATTGTATACATGAATGTGTAAGAAAATTGAGGGGGGGATATCCCCCCCTAGGGCCATGGCTAGTGGGGGACTGATCCCTCCATCCCCCCCTCTGGAGGAAACCCTGCACAGGGTGCAAATCTCGACAGGGGTGCACAGCTCGACATAGCACAATAGTCTATGGTCTGAACGCCCAATGAACGCCTCATTCATGTATGCAAAGATAACGTACAAAATGTTACTAATACAAACTAAACCAAATGCCAAACTTTTGCACAACGTAAGATAAACCATCTCCTCCTAAATCTTCATGTGTACAGTAAGGGTATTAAATAGACTTTTCTATTTATAACTCAAACCTCCAGCCCGTATTCATCCCTCCCGCCTGCGCCCGTGTTCATCCCACCCCGCCTGACACGTCCCTCCCCCGGGCAACTCTTCCGCCCTCCCCCGCTGTCTGGAGCCATATTGCAGTCCGTGCTTTTCCTTCGGCTGGAAGTTTCTACAGGTTGCTGCCACTTTTGGCACTTTACCTGACTAAAACCCAACCACGTCCCTCGGTCCAGCGCTGAAAAGCAGTTCCCAAAGAACCCGGTGAGTGCTGACTGAAAACGGGAGGTGAAGCGAGCAATGATTACGAGCTTACTTGCATCTCTCATTGAAGCTATCATATGCTAATTTAGCAAAACAACCATAGACTCAGCTTTTTATCCCGTTATAAACTTAAAACACACACTTGCACACACTTACAATGCCCCATGAGTAAAACTTGATTCTTGGATGAAAAAAGAAATAAGTGACCAAATATATTTGTGTCTTTAATCCCGCTGTGTGGAGTTGACAGCTAGTCGGAGCTAGCGTTGTGGCTAAAAGTAAAAAGTTTGTCTCGTGACTTGAAACTCTACCAAAACATAAGAAATTAAATGTATCGAGATAAATGTATGTATTGTTATAAGTATTGCATGTTTTCTATGTGTTTTAATAAAGTTTTGAATGTTGTTCGAGGACGTACTAATCCATAATGCGTGTTTAAAGTTCAATATAGACAACTTTTCTCCGTTTTGGCCTGTGCTGTTAAAGAAGACACCTGTACTACACCTGTTCGCAGAACTGGCAATTAATATCATATATAATAATTTGTTAAATGAATAGTAGCGGCATTCTTACAGATTACAGATTATTTTTTGCATAGCGACTTAATTAATAATACATTGAATTGAAAAAAAGCACCTCTTCATATACTCCAACTGCATTTATTACGCAGTGCATAAATGCTGCTGTAGTGGCATTAATTGGCATTGACTGATTAACAATTCTAGTATCTGTATTAAGATTCTGATCCAGTAAAGTTTATGGATCAGTTCAGCGTTGAAAGTCGATTTGACTTTCAAATCAGTAAGACTTTATCGCTGATATATTTACCCAAATGTCAGTTTTTCTTGAATTTGAGGTGATTTGAGCTTCAGGCATGATAAACCGGTCCGAGGCGTTTCAAAGCAGGGACATGCAACTGTTATTGTTCTGAAAACAGTTGAAAAAAGTATTTTTGTGTAGTTAGATACCTGTACTACTATACTTATCCTTGTATTATTCAGTCTTCGATAGACTGGCAAGAGAAAATCTGTGGGAGGTGGAAGAAAGGGGTGTAGATCCTGGCAGATTGTGTCAGAAAAGGGAAGTGTGTCTCTGCTTGTCTGTGGTGTGATGGGCAGGGACCTCAACGCTTTCTCTAGATATTCTCCTGCTGTTGAGAAAATCAGACATTCTTACAGATCAGTGGAGGTAGTTGCAGTTTTTATAACTTAAAAACTAAAATTACTTTCATAGATTGGAAAAAAGATTTCAAACAGACACATTGAAGAGATAGTGTGGAAAAAATCAAAAGGAAAGATTGACATACATTTTTTTAGCAACATTTTAAACGACCAAATTAGCCTCTAATAGCGAACTATCTGAATGACGTCACTAAGACACGCCCCCGCCGCCTGTCAACTCCCGCCCACATGTTTCGGACAAACACTGCCAAAATGAATCAAATACCTCTTGTCACTTTAGACGAAAATGATAAACCAGGGGCAAAATTCCACCATCAAACCATCAGGGATCATAGTGTGTAGACCAATTAAAACGTTGGCTTGAATGTCGTGGTCTTCCAGTAACTGGTAGAAAGTTTGATTTGATAAAAAGGTAATGGTGAGGATTATGCTAACATTATTTAGTAATTTAAATTGCAATGTTAGCGCCTTCTTTGTTTATTTTGCTCTGATTAACTTCCATTTATCAAGTTGTTTTTTGTACTGTCCATTTCGTAATTAGTTTGATCATTTAGTTAACTACAGTCAGCCGATATTATAATAGATCCATGGGGTCACAACGGGCTACACCACTACTGTCTCTGAGAGAGAAACTATCGGAGCTAGCCACACTCAGTAAACGCAAACGACAATCAATCAACATATTTAAATGTTAATGCTAGAATATAATATTCATACAACACACGTGCACAGAGGTTTTCAGAATTATCTGTTAAGGTTTTCATGACAAAAATACTTTTTTAATGCGACTAAAGCGATCGCTTTTTTAAAGTAGGTGAACTAAAACCTTTGGGAACTATTTTCTTTGCACTCATTAAATAAACCTTTTGGCATGAATAGTGACAGAAGTTTATTTTGTGTGTTCAGTTGGTACAAAGCCGTATATTAAGCGGACCCCAACGCGCTTCGTCTGTGCTTATTTTCCGATAGTCACGAAGTTGAAAAAACCCCTCTCATCTTTCTTCAGGTGTGAGAATTGTATACATTCTGGATTAGGACAAACAATACTAATATGGATTGATGGGGCTAACTACATTCAGAAGAGCTCAGACGGACCTGATACAGCGGTCCAGGTCCAGTCCCAGCTAAACGTAGCTAGGACTGGATCTGGAGGCTCCACAGTTGGTCCAGCGAAGTGTTTTGAAAAAACATGTCCTTTTTAACATTTTCATGAGAGAAATTCTGCTGACCACAAAGCACCCACCTCTTGCACTTGTCCTGGTCTGGTCCTGGTCTGGTCCTGGTCTGGTTCGATGGTGTGGTTTAACGAACAGGTTGAATGTTACTGCTTTCATATAGTCCTTTTCAGAGTATCTGAAATCGCTCCCACAAGCACCATAACTGCAGTGTTTTGTTGTCACCATGATTCAATGATTTAGCCCAAATAAATACACACGCTTATGTGGAGAACACAGTAGTACTCAACGGAGTCGGACAGAGTTTGTCCGAAACATGCGCGTATGCGCAGTCATTGGAACTATTTTTAGCACATTTCGAAAACCGGACAGTGCCCTATTGGACCATTCTACTGTGATGCCAGTTACATAGAAAATAATATGTCCTCAGTCTGAAAAAGCAGAAGATGAAATCCCACAAGATTTACATGGTTAACACAACAGAAGGAAATCACTTGATATAAAAAGGAATCGTAAAAAAATTAAAATTAATTAATTAAATTAATTAAAAAAAATTAATTAAAGTTACCCTTGAAAAATGTATAACGGACGTGATGAGGACGGTCCTCTTTTCTCTAAAAATTAAACTTGAGAAAAAAAAAAATCTGGTCTGTTTTCACATTTAATTGCTTGATAATATGAAAGTATCACTTTGCATCTACTTTGTGTAAAAAAAAATAGAATCTCTGAATCAAATGTGGACATCTGAAAATACCTATCAAACTTCCACAAAGCTCATTCCGTCAAATCATCACGTCCGTTATATAAAATAAACAGGGCCGCTATAGGAAACTTGTCTAATGTATAAAACGGTTATGTTCTAGCAACTTCTAATGGACAGAGAGGGTATTTGGAAACATGAAAAACATAAAATATCTTCTGATTATTAAAATGTAATTTTTGGCCTTTTGTCACACTTTTGTGCCCTTTAGTGTGAACAAGCCCTGATTACACAATGTGTGTACATCACAGATCTTACGTGCCTTGCACGACTTACTAGCTCACAGCTGTCCCACCCATGAGCACTGGGGGCGCCCGTGGTACTGCAAACTAAATTCACGCGGGCTACCCAGAAAAAAGTCCCACAGAACCCAATGTAAACTAAAAAAAGCTCGACCTCAGCTGACAGAGAACCTACAGCTTTCATAAAGATCGGATTTTGTGGGGATTTTAGTGTCCCTTGTCATCCTGAACTTTTTTTCTTATTAAATCCTTTTGTTTTCATTAAATCCACACTTTACTGCCACAAACTCTGTTCTTTTCCTTCCCACTCTGCTCTGCTGCTGTTCTGATCAGCAGCTCTGATTGGTCAGAGCGCGGCTGAGCCCCTCTCTGCGCGTGTATAAAAGCCACACACCGCACGTTTGGCGCAACGCATCATGGGAGCTCGTCCACTGCGCAGAACCGGGAGGACCAGACGATGCCCAAATATAGGCGAGTTCTGCTAATCTCCCAGTCTCCGTGAAGTCCCATGCACTACTGAGCACAAGCCATTAATTTGAATAAGGCGCCATCTTGGATCACCAGGGCTTGCACCGTACCGGTCTGCATGCATCGCTAGTGTTTGTAAAACTTTTTTGCGGACACTGGAGGATGACGGAAAAGGCACTGGACAAAATGGGGGAAGTGTCAAATGTTATCTAAAGGCTATGTCTAGGTCTGGGCGATAAAATGATAACAATATATATTGTGATGATAGACATCAATTCGATATCAATAGAAGATGGGGTCAATAGAATGTTCAATAGTTTAACTTCATCAAGCCCCGGTGATCCAAGATGGCGCCCTATTCAAATGAATGGCTTGTGCTCAGTAGCGTATGGGACATACAGGGGACCGAGAGATTAGCGGAACTCGCCTATATTTGGGCATCGTCTGGTCCTCCCGGTTCTGCGCTGTGGACGAGCTCCCATGATACGTGGCTCTCATGCACGTGCACAGAGGGGCTCGGCCGCGCTTGGTCAATCAGATGAGCAGCGGTAGAGTGGAGCCAGAGCAGGAAGGAAACAAGCAGAGTTTGTGGCACTAAAGTGTGGATTTAAAGACAACCGAGGGATTTATGAAGAAAAAAAGTTCAGGATGACAAGGGACACTAAAATCTCCACAAAATACGACCTTTGTGAAAGCTGTAGGTTCGCTGTCAGCTGAGGTCAAGCTGTTTTAGTTTACATTGAGTTCTATGGGAGTTTTTTCTTGGTAGCCCGCACAAATTTAGTTTTCAGTACCTCGGGCGCCCCCTGTGCCCATGAGTGGGACAGCGATAAGATGGTAATGCCCTATCCAGTTATTCTTATAGATCCATAAACTTCACTAGCTAGAAAAAACGGGAAGAAAAAAACGCTCGGTATTCTTGGGGACCCTGAGGCTTCTCGACCTATCACGGCCGAGCATGAATCGCAAGGCATTCTGGGAAATGCAAAAATATGGAGCTAGTATTGTTTCAATAATATTTATGTGCGTTATAAAAAATATTTGTGTGTGTGTGTGTACATTTGTATGTGCGTAACAAGATTTGTGTGTGCGTAACTAGATCTGTGTGTGTAAAAATAAAATGGCAGTCTTTTTACACTGCCTTCGCAGATTCGCAAGTGTAACTTGGAGTGTG